TTATGCGTATAAATATAAAGACCTAAGCAATGCAAAAATGGAAAGTTTACGTACCGAACAAATGCGCGACTGTCATTTTCAAAACACTTTTAGGTTTTGTGTAATAAATGCATGAATTATTAAATTTAATCATGCGATCCCCAAAATATCAATATTCCTACTTAATTCATTAATGTACCTAAAATAATTTTAAAAAACCATAATGGTAATTAAAGGAATATTAGAATTTGATATCGTTCTTGATTAATTATAGGTATTTGATGGTCATCTTAGTACTCTGGTAATTGTCTCTATGTATGTATGTATATGTAACCCACAATGCACGAATAAAAAAATATATGTATATATATATTTAAATTTTAATCAATTAAATCTGCTGTCAAAATAATAAAACGCTAGTAATTAAGGGTTGAAAAGCGCTAGTAATTTAGATATTTTGCTCATTTGTAGCGCTGGTAATTAATATATAAATTTTGGTAGGGCTTGCAATACGGCTTAAAGACCCGCTGGTATTTAGGAAGTGAAAGCGCTGGAGTTTACGATATAAAAAAGCGCGGGTATTTAGGAGGTAAAAAGCGCTTATACTTAGGAAGTGAATGCGCTGGTATTTAAGAACCGCTGGTGATTAAGGGAGATTAATTTATTATCGATTAATTCGATCAATTAATAAACCCTATGCAATTAAAACCGGCTAGTAATTAAAAAACCGCTACGATTTAAGACCCGCTAGCAATTACGAAGTGAAAGCGCGGGTATTTAAGAAGTAAAAGCGCTGGTATTTAGGAGGTGAAAGCGCTGCTATTTAAGAACCGCTGGGGATTAAGGGTGGATTAATTAAAAGCGCGGGGATTTAAGAACCGCTGGTGATTAAGGGAGATTAATTATTATCGATTAATTCGATCAATTAATAAACCCTATGCAATTAAAACCGGCTAGTAATTAAAAACCGCTACGATTTAAGACCCGCTGGTATTTTGAAGGTAAAAGCGCTGGGGATTAGGGAAGTAAAGCGCTGGGGTTTTGGAGGTAAAAGCGCTGGGGATTAAGGGAGATTAATTGCGGATTAATTGAGGATTAATTGAGGATTAATTACGGATTAATCCGTTCAATTAATAAAACACTAAACCCCCACCGTTACTACTGTCGTTTGATCTATCGGTCTCTCAAATGTAGGAGGGCTAACTTATCCGGACTTAAAACCTAATTTCTCGGTTCTAAAGCCTCCAGGAATCGAATAGTTTTAACCAAAAGTCACAACACTTGCACGTTTTGAAATGGTGAGTTAACAAGTTCTAAAAATATTTTATGACAAATATCTTCCCTGACAAAAGGAGTTTGTGCTTCTAACTTTCTTATTTGTTCACGGAGGCTCCTGAAATTTGTTATGCTTACTAATTTGTAACTCCTGATTACGAATTCGTGCTCAGAATTCACCTAAAAAGTTCACTATTTTTTTATTATCTTTTTTATTTTAATATCTATAAAATCGTCTGATTTATTGGTCTCTCAAAAGTAGAAGGGCTAACTTATCCGGACTTAAAACCAAATTATCGGTTCTAAAGCTTCCAGAAATCGAATGGTTGTAACCGAAAGTCACATTACTTGCACCGTTGTGAAATAATGAGTTCACAAACTCTAAAAATATTTTATGACAAATATCTTCCCTGACAAAAGGAGTTTGTGCTTCTAACTTTCTTATTTGTTCACGGAGACTCCTGAAATTTGTTATGCTTACTAATTTGTAACTCCTGATTACGAATTCGTGCTCAGAATTCACCTAAAAAGTTCACTATTTTTTTATTATTTTTTTTTATTTTAATATCTATAGACAAATGAAATCGTCTGATTTATCGGTCTCTCAAAAATAGAAGGGCTAACTTATCCGGACTTAAAACCAATTTATCGGTTCTAAAGCTTCCAGAAATCGAATGGTTGTAACCGAAAGTCACATTACTTGCACCGTTTTGAAATAATGAGTTCCCAAACTGTAAAAATATTTTATGACAAATATCTTCCCTGACAAATGGAGTTTGTGCTTCTAAACTTCCTTATTCGTTCACGGAGACTCCTAAAATTTGTTGTGTTTATTAATTTGTTACTCCTAATTAAGAATCCGTGCTCAGAATTGACCTAAGAAGCCCTCTGATTTTTATATTTTTTTATGTTTTAGTATCTGAAGAAAAATTAAATCGTCTGATTTTAAGTCTCTCAAAAGTGGAGAAGCTAATTCATCCGGTCTGAAAATTAATTTCTCGGTTCTAAAGCCTCCAGAAATACATGGTTTTAACCGAAAGTAACCTTACTGGCATTCTTTTGAAATGGTGAATTCACAATTTCTAAAAATATTTTATTCCAAGTATCTTCCCTGACAAATGGAGCTTTCTTATTCGATAACGGTGACCCCTTAAATTTGCTGTGTTTACTAATTCCTCCTAATCATGGATGCTTGGTCTAAAAAATCATATCTGTTTTAACAGCCTCTGAATCCAAAAGAGATAACTTACCCGGGCTAGAAATTAATTTCTTCTGATTTAAAAGCTTCCAGAAATCGAATGGTTTCAACCAGAAGAAGGATACTTGAATCGTTTTGAAATGTTGAGCTCACAGACCCTAATTTTTTTTTTGTAAAATATCTTCCATGACAAATAGTTTGTGAATGTAACTTTCTTATTCGATAACCTAAAATTTGCTGTGTTTACTAATTTATAGCTCCTGAATATGAATCCAAACTCAGAATGTATATTACCTATAGAAGAATGACAAAACCTGCTTTAACCTATCTAAGTAATAATTTTCTAGGACCTAATAATTGCAACAAATGGAATGGTGTTAATATTATTAACTAATTTCTGTGAATAGACTCCATTCGTTTTATTTTTAGCACTCCTGTAAATGTTACACACCAAAAATACAATATTGTTTATTAAAACTTTGCTACATTATGATTTATTTTAATCTGTAGAAATTTAGTCGCTGTAATTTATTGTTTATATAATTAGTTGTTTTTTAAAATACAAATAACCGAGTAAGAACGTTTTAAAATCTGAAAAATAATAGAAATATTAATGTCAGTTTTAGTATAAAAGAAACTCACTGCTGTGAAAGTTTCCAGCGACAACACCACTATTTTTCCAGCCGTTATAATTAACGGTCTTTTCGAACGTTCCATTAAAGTAATAAGAATTTTTTTTGAGTCTATATCACATTCGTACCACTTGCCCATATATACAGCATTTGATAAGGTATTGTTCTGAAATCGAATATACAAATATCGACAATGGAAATTGTGTCATTACTACTTCTTCTGCCAGAAGGGTTCCAAAATAGCAATAAAAGTAGACTTGAAATAGCAGCATTAGTAGATACACCAACAAAATTAATAGGTTGAAATCGGTTCCTTGTTCCTAAAATTACAAAATTATTTAACATTAGATACTTCCAAAGTTACACGTACTTTTATAATTTGCAGGCAACATAAACCTATTTCCATTATACTTTCGAAAAACTGAATGAACACCACACTCGAAAAACAACTTTCATATTTTTGAGTAAACCTGAAACAAAATAAACAGAGATGTTTTCGCACGAAGACACGTTGAATTTTACTCCAGAATGTCTCTATAGTGGAGAATACATCTCACAAAATAATTATAAGTTTGTTGTGATTTTGATACATGTTCATGAGTTTTTACTATTCCTTCATCTATATTTTCTAACGTTTCTTTCAAAAGTTGGAGCTGTCCCACAGCAAGATAAAGCAAACCTGGAACTAAGGAATCTACTGCTGCACAAGCAGCTCCTGCATATACTACTGCTAAAAAATAAATAAATCAAAATTAATAATAAACAATAACAAATTTTTCACTCACCTATAACACATACTGAATAAGTACAAAAATAAAGTGTCGGTTGTGATTCACAAGAAAAAGGAAACCAAACATCTAACGGTAAATTCGAGCAATAATTTTGAAATTGTAGTGTGACAATCCATACAAACAAGGATACAAAAATAGCAACGAAAAAAGCACTGCAGAAATTTTTACATCTGATTACGTACTTGTGAGTAATCTCCACTTGTTTAATATTGCACCCTTTGACAAATTTTTTATCGAAGTTTTCTATACACAGTTCCAAATCATCGCTGTTTACCAAAAAATAGTAAAACTTCACTGTAAGAAAGACCATTCCGGTGGAAATAAAATTGTTGTGATTTTGCTCATTTATATTTCTTTCCTGGAAAACTTTCGCAAGAGTTAGCACTAGTTGTGGCCACAGTGCAAAAATGTAGACACTGTAACCGAAAACTTTGTGTAAAAACTTATTTGCGGAGGTTGGATACAATCCAATTATTTGTAAAATGTGTAGATTGCGTTTGAAGCTTTGCGATATTAAACCCTCCATTGTACAAATCAGTCTGACGACTGGGGTTTCCTGATTCAGTTTTAAGAAGGAGTATCGCTCCCTTAATTACATAAATTTTACATCAAAGCCATGAAGCACGACCCCAACCTTTATGACATTAATTTTAATTTCGTGACAGTTTCATCTACATTTCTTAAGAACTTTATTTCGACGTGGCTATTATTTCCAATAATTTAATTTTAGGAAATACTACGATACCATATATTTAAAATAATCAACTCTGAAACCAGTTCGTTTGGTCACTTTCTTAAAAACCCACACAAATTATCTACATAAATTAATAACAATAATGCACCGAAAATACCAACACCTGTTTTTGAAAATGGGAAATTCAGACGGCTGACCGGAATTGACCCATCAGTGGCAATGGATATTCCCACCTTGTCCTTGACTACATCATCAATCGTAGACACTACCAGCAACCATTAGCGTAAAACTGGTTTATGAAGACATTACCATTGTCGTATCATATCAACAACAAGTCAAAATCTGCGGCTTTGGTTAATTCTATTACTCAATTTTGTGATTGATAACATGAACTTTTTTGACTCGAAAATCCTCTTTAAATTCTGGGAACGACATGTCTCTTCAATGTTATTTAGTATTTATGGGTTTTATCGATACGAAACGCACAGTTACGTGGTAGTGCTCAGCTAACAACGGTCGCTTGCAAAATTTTATCCTTAGGTATGTACGTTTCTTTTGTTGGAAAAATTAAAACTCCAAAAGGTTCCGGTTTTCGCTAAATTGCCTTGATATTTCACCTCACTAATTGTTTTAAAATTGATTACATTCATGTGAAGTGGGTTAAGTGTTGTTTTTCTCTTTTTCATGCAGTTGGATATTAATATTCTGTTACCTACTGGAAAACATCAATCGCTAAAAATATTGCGGGTTATGGTTTGGTAAAGGTCATGCAAACCTTGTTTTTAAGAAAATTACATACATATTTAATACATTTTTATGGAATTATGTCTCCGGAAAATCCATAATCACTATGGGCGTACAGGTTTCATGTTTTCTTGACGTTTCATGACCACCAGAGTACGGAAAAAATGGTCTCCCCTTTCTCTCTGTCTGTCATCTGTCTCTCGTCTGTGTCAATTTTTTTCCAAGACATCCAAATTTTCGCAAAAAAATGCAGTGACGTCATCTTTAAATATTACCACAATAAATGTCATTTAAATTTTATAAAATAACGTACTACTCCATTTTTCCTAGGCATTTGGATTTTTCAAAAAGAAAATCAAAATTGTGTGACATTTTCTAATTTAAATTTATTTTAAAATTGGAGAATCGAATCTTGTAAACGTTTTAATGTTTTCGGAAGCATGGTAAATCGTTAATCAAAATTTATCCCGTTTACCCTAAACAACGAGAGTTTTAGAAAAAAAAAAATAAAAATTGTATATGTCAATATTTTTCGATTTCTCAATTTTTATTTTCGATATTATAGTTTTGAGATTTTTCAGTTTTTCAGTTCCTCAATTTTTCGACTTTTAAGTTTGTGATTTTTCAATTTTTCAGTTTCTTAATTTTTCGATATTTCAGTTTTGGAATATTTCAATTTTTCGATTTTTCATTCTTTCGTTTTTTCATTTTTTCTATTTTTCAATTTTTTTTAACATTTTTTTTTATTTTAATTTTTTTGAATTTTTAACTTTTCGGTTTATCATCGATTTTGGTCTATTTTGGTTCCTCAATTTTTCGACATCTCGATTTTTCGATTTCTGTATTTTTTGAAGTCTCCATTTCATTTTTCAGTTTTTCGATTCTTCAGTTTTCCGATTGATTTCCAATTTTTAGAATTTTAAAATTTTCTATTTTCGATTTCTTCGTTGCTCAGATTTTAGATTTTCCGACTTTTTGATTTTCCATTTTTCAATTTTTCGATTTTTGACGTTCCTAAATTTTCAATTTCTCGGTTAAAGGATTTTTTTTTATTTTTCCATTTCTACATTTTTCAACTTTTCAATTTCTCGATTTTTTATATTTTTGATTTTTCAGTTTTTGGGCTTTCCGACTTCTCGATATTTCTAATTTTTCGATGTGTCGGCTCTGGAATTTTTCAATTTTTGATTCTTCAATTTTTTTTGTTGTTTCGGTTTTTAGATGTTTCGATGTTTTAATTTTTTAATTTTTAAAATTTTAGTTGTTTCGATTTCTCAATTTTTTGAGATCTGAATTCTCCGATTTTTGACTTTTTCGAAGTACTAAATTTTAGATTGTTCAATTTTTTTAAATTTCGATTTCTCGATTTTTCCATATATCGACTTCTTGATTTTAAACTTTTCGGTTTTTCAATTTTGAGATTTTTCAAATGTTTGATTTTTCGAATTTGCATTATTTTTTTCGATTGTTCAATTTCTAGATTTTTCAATTTTTCAATTTTTCAATTTTTCAATTTATCAATCTTTGTTTAAATCATCCTATTTTTCAATATCTAAGTTTTGGATATTTCACTTTTGGCTTATTTCGATTTCTCAATTTTTCTATTTTTCACCTTCTTGGCTTTTCGATTTACCAATTTTTCCAAGTTTCGATTTTTCAATTTTTCGATTTTTCCTCATTTCAGTTTTGGAATTTTTCAATTTCTCGATTCTTCAGTTTTTCGATTTTTCAATTTTTGCAACTGTTAAATTTTTTCCTTTAGATTTCTCGATTGCTCGAATGTTACATTTTTCGACTTTTTAGTTTTTCGATTTTTCATTTTTTCGATTTTTAACATTTGTAAATTTTTTCCTATTTCTAAATTTCCCGACTTTTCAATGTTTCAATTTTTCGATTTTTCAGTTTTTCGACTTCTCGATTACTTTCTAATTTTTTGGTGTTTCTATTTTTCGACTTTTCGATTTTCCGATTTTTCGATATTTTCCTTTCTCGATTTTTAAATTTTAGAATTTTCAATTTATCGATTTTTTAATTTTTTTTATTTTTAAAATTTTTGTTGTCTCGATTTCTCGATTTTTTGATATTTCAGTTCTTCGATTTTTGGATTTTTCGAATTTTCAAATTTCAAATTTTTCAGTTTTTCGACTTCTCGATTATTTTCTAATTTTTCGGTGTTTCTATTTTTCGACTTTTCGATTTTCCGATTTTTCGATATTCTACTTTCTCGACTTTAAATTTTAGATTTTTCGATTTTTTAATTTTTTTAATTTTTAAAATTTTTGTTGTCTCGATTTCTCAATTTTTGATATTTCAGTTCTCCGATTTTTGGATATTTCGAATTTTTAAATTTTAAATTTTTCAGTTTTTTGACATTTCGATTTCTCGATTCATGGATATTTTGAATTTCGATTTTTTTATTGTTCAATTTTTCGATTTTTCAATTTTTCGATTTATCGATTTTTTTTAATCATCCAATTTTTCATGATTTAACTTTTAGATTCTTTTTCTTCTAGCCTATTTCGATTTCTCAATTTTTACATTTTTCGACTTTTTAATTTTTCGATATTTCATTTTTTCGATTCTTAAAGTTTCTAAATTTTTTCCTATTTCTAAATTTCCAGACTTTTCAATGTTTCAATTTTTCGATTTTTCAGTTTTTCGACTTCTCGATTATTTTCCAATTCTTTGGTGTTTCTATTTTTCGACTTTTCGATTTTCGGATTTTTCGATATTTTACTTTCTCGATTTTTGAATTTTAGATTTTTGAAGTTATCAATTTTTTAATTTTTAAAATTTTTGTTGTCTCAATTTCTCGATTTTTTGATATTTCAGTTCTTTGACTTTGGGATTTTTCGAATTTTTCAATTTAAAATTTTTCAGTTTTTTGACATTTCGATTTCTCGATTCATGGATATTTTAAATTTCGATTATTTTATTGTTCAATTTTTCATTATTTAACTTTTAGATTCTTTTTCTTCTAGCCTATTTCGATTTCTCAATTTTTACATTTTTCGATTTTTCATTTTTTCGGTTTTTAACGTTTCTAAATTTTTTCCTATTTCTAAATTTCCCGACTTTTCAATGTTTCAATTTTTCGATATTTCAGTTTTTCGACTTCTCGATTATTTTCCAATTTTTCGGTGTTTCAATTTTTCGACTTTTCGATTTTCCGATTTTTCGATATTTTATTTTCTCGATTTTTAAATTTTAGATTTTTCAATTTATCGATTTTTTAATTTTTTTTATTTTTCAAAATTTTATTGTCTCAATTTCTCGATTTTTTGATATTTCAGTTCTTCGATTTTTGGATTTTTCGAATTTTTAAATTTCACATTTTTCAGTTTTTTGACATTTCGATTTCTGGATTCATGGATATTTTGAATTTCGATTTTTTTGTTGTTCAATTTTTTGATTTTACAATTTTTCTATTTATCGATTTTTTTAATCATCCAATTTTTCATTATTTAACTATTAGATTTTTTTTCTTCTAGCCTATTTCGATTCTCAATTTTTACATTTTTCGACTTTTTAATTTTTCGATTTTTCATTTTTTCGATTTTTAACGTTTCTAATTTTTTTCTTATTTCTAAATTTCCCGACTTTTCAATGTTTCAATTTTTCGATTTTTTGTTTTTCGACTTCTCGATTATTTTCCAATTCTTCGGTGTTTCTATTTTTCGACTTTTCGATTTTCCGATTTTTCGATATTTTACTTTCTCCATTTTTAAATTTTAAATTTTTCAAGTTTCGATTTTTTAATTTTTTTAATTTTTAAAATTTTACGATTTTTTGATACTTCACTTCTTCGATTTTTGGAATTTTTTAATTTCAAATTTTTTAGTTTTTTGACATTTCGTTTTCTCGATTCATGAATATTTTGAATCTCGATTTTTTTATTGTTCAGTTTTTTGATTTTTCAATTTTTCGATTTATCGATTTTTTTTAATCATCCAATTTTTCATTATTTGACTTTTAGATTCTTTTTCTTCTAGCCTATTTCGATTTCTCAATTTTTACATTTTTCGACTTTTTAATTTTTCGATATTTCATTTTTTCGATTCTTAACGTTTCTAAATTTTTTCCTATTTCTAAATTTCCCGACTTTTCAATGTTTCAATTTTTCGATTTTTCAATTTTCGACTTCTCGATTGTTTTCCAATTCTTCGGTGTTTCTATTTTTCGACTTTTGGATTTTCCGATTTTTCGATATTTTACTTTCTCGATTTTTAAATTTTAGATTTTTCAGTTCATCGATTTTTTAATTTTTTTAATTTTTAAAATTTTTGTTTCGATTTTTCAATTTTTGATATTTCAGTTCTCCGATTTTTGGATATTTCGAATTTTTAAATTTTAAATTTTTGAGTTTTTTAAAATTTCGATTTTTCCATTTATCGATTTTTTCTTAAATCATCCAATTTTTCATTTTTTAACTATTAGATTTTTTTCTTCTGGCCTATTTCGATTTCTCAATTTTTCCATGTTTCGACTTCTTAGCTTTCGGATTTACCAGTTTTTCGACTTTTCGAGTTTTCTTTTCAATTTGTGGATTTCTGACGTCTCCAAATTTTCAATATCTCAGTTAATAGATTTTTTTGATTTTCTCATTTTTAGATTTCTCAACTCAATGTTTCAATTTTCCAATTTTTCAGTTTTTCGACTTTCCGAATTCTCGATTTTTTAATTTTTCATTTATGTAATTTTTCGATGGTTCGGCAAAAAAAAATCTAAAATTTAAATAATGAAAAATTGGATGATTTAAGAAAAAATCGAAAAATGGAAAAATTGAACAATAAAAAAATTGAAATTCAAAATATCCATGAATCGAGAAATCGAAATGTCAAAAAACTGAAAAATTTGAAATTTAAAAATTCGAAAAATCCAAAAATCGAAGAACTGAAATACCAAAATATCGAGAAATCGAGACAACAAAAATTTTAAAAATTAAAAAAATTAAAAAATCGATAAATTGAAACATCTAAAATTTAAAAATCGAGAAAGTAAAATATCGAAAAATCGGAAAATCAAAAAGTCGAAAAATAAAAACACCGAAGAATTGGAAAATAATCGAGAAGTCGAAAAACTGAAAAATCGAAAAATTGAAACATTGAAAAGTCGTGAAATTTAGAAGTAGGAAAAAATTTAGAAACGTTAAAAATCGAAAAAATGAAAAATTGAAAAATTAAAAAGTCGAAAAATGTAAAATTCGAAAATTGGAAAAATCGAAAGATCTAGCAATTGAAATGTTTCAATTTCTCGATATTTCCATTTTTCAGCTTTTCGATTTTTTGAAAAGAATATTTCTCCTTGGTTGTCCACTTTAAATATATTTCATATTGTCCGCACTTGTGCGGAACGCGTGCCCTCGGAATTTACTACGCCTCCAGGTCGAGGGAAGTTCTGTCGAAAAAATCTACAGTGGTTTTTTTTTCTTTTAAACTGTGACTGTTAAAATCAAGTTTTTTGATTACTTAAATCCACTGCACATGTTGAAATTGACATAAGTGTGCGTGCTGAAATAATCTTGAACCGATCATTTTCAAGTGGAAAAACTCGCTAGAAATACAGACATAACCTTGCCCTTTATCAATACATTTAATTTTTTTCAGTAACAAGAAATCGAAATGGACTATCTGTTCTATTTTCTTCTTGTGGTTCCGGCAAGTACCCAGTTCATTTCCCCCTGTCCCAGACTCTTCAAATATGAACCAGAGCTGGCAGAAAAAGGTCGATGGTACGGCGTATTCACGGTACTCAGCGACGTGAACATTACAGGTGTATGGCTGCGTTTGATTTTCGACAAAGAGTCTATACAGATCGGAGTAAAAAGCTGCATTTTTCCTTGCCAAATTTGATTTTAATGGGCAGACATTTTGTAGAATTGGTTCGGCGAGGCACTTACTAAGGATAATAAAGAGTACCTTTTGAAAAATCCTCACCATAAGTTGGTGGCAAATGAGTCGTACAATCTTCGATTTTATATCAATTACAATCCGAAAGAGACGCCTGCACAACTCACCATGGTCAAGTTGAATGGAAAGATAGTGTGTCCTGAGGGAGAAGTTAGCACGGAACCGTCGGTTACGACAACCACTTTGTTGTCGAATCGTTTTCCCAACAAGAGCAATGACAGCGACAAGAGTACCGAGGGAACTTTGTAAGCCTGTTAAATTACACATTCAAATACCTGAAGGATTTCAAAAAGCTTAAAAAATGAAACACTCTTCAACTATCAATTTGTTTTTTTTTATCTAGCGAAAGCTAAGGAAGTATTGTAAATTGGACGACTGGCTGCTCTATTTTCTGGATCATAACCCCCAGATTACGAAAAAATGAGTCCCAGTTCCGTCTGTCTGTCTGTCTGTCTGTCTGTCTGTCCACCGTCTGTGTCAATTTTTGATAGATAGATAACCGCTTTTGTTAAATTTTATATGGGTATTACGAATATCATGTTCATGGCAAAACACTAACCAAAGTTTGTCTAATCATCCCCACCAACTATGTGATGACGTCAACACAAAATTGTACATTCTAAATGGGTTTTAAATTGTATAAAGTAGCATAGCTTGATACGTGTAGTTTATGAATCCGTGTTGAGTTCTTACCCGAAAAGTCTAGATTTTTTTGGAAAAAAAAATATATAACAACATTTTGCAATTTAATTTTGAAACTGCAAAACCTTATGCTTTGAAATCTTGCAGATGTTTTGAGGTTGTCATAAGTATAGTAAATTTTTAATCAAGGTATATTTGTTTATTCCCTCCCACCCCTCAAAATTTATGATGTCACATCTATGTGCAAAAATAATAAGTATTGCGTTAATTTTTTTAGATTTGCCTATGGATAAATAAAAAAAATTAACGTGTTAATTTGTTTTGTTGATTAAATCAAGAACGGCTCCCTTCGTTTTCTCGAAAACTTAGTAATCCAATACTGTTATTATTAGTATTTAACAAATTTTGGAAAGTAAAAGTAAATATAAGGGTATCATAAAATATTTAAATTCACAAAGTCCTATACTTTTTCGAAAAAAACAGTTTTTTGACATCACAATTCTTTTTCCCATTTCCTTTAATTTGTGAATTTTTGCATTTTTTGATATTATAATTTTTCATTCTTCGATTTTTCAGTTTCTCAATTTTTAATTTTTCAATTTTTCAATTTTTCGTTTCCTCAATTTTTCAAATTCTTGACTTTTAGTTTTCATTTTCCGGTGTTTTTATTTTCATTTTCGCGATTTTAAACTACAATTTTTCGATTTTTCTTTTAATTTACTTTTCAATATTTCTTTCGATTTGATAATTTTTCGCATACCCAATTTTTCAAACTATCAATTTTTGATTTTTCAATTCCTCCATTTTCTAATTTTTTAATTTTTCAATTTCGCACTTTTTGGTTTTCTCAATTATCCGATTTTCGGCTTTCTTTAAAATTAAAGAATATAGAAAATATTGTAAAATCGAAATATTGATTTTTCAGTATTTATATCGAATAATTGAGAAAACCAAAAATTGCGAAATTGTAAAATATAAAAATCTAAAAATTAAAAATTGAATAACTTAAAAATCGATAACCTGCAAAATCGAAAAAACAAATTACTGAATTTGTAATATAGCGGTTTTTACAATATTTTGTGTTTTGGATTTTTTAGTTTCTCAATTTTTAATCTTTCGATTTTTCAATTTTTCAAGTTCTTGATTTCCAACTTTTAGATTTTTCAACGTCTTGTTTTATACTTTTTTGTTTTTTCCTTTTAGAGTTTTCAATTCTACAATTCTGAAATTTTTCCATTTTGTTTGGTGAAAAATCCTAAAATTAAAAATCGGAAAAATTTGAAAAAGCTAAAACTAAAAGCACGGAGCACTGAATAAACGTAAAAATGAAAGATTGAAATACTAAAAAGCAAGAAACTAAAAATCAAAAAAAATTAATGAATCGAAAAATTGGAAAGAAGAAAAAACGAATCCAATCGAAAAATTGAAAAACGCAAAAATTGTGAATTCGAAATATTATATTATCGCCAAATTGTAAAGAACGAAAAACTGAAAAATTAAATATCGAAAAATTGAAAAATTAAAAATTGAATAATTAATAAATCGAATACATGAAAAAGTTGTTTCAAAATCCAATAAGTGAAAAAGTGTTTTTTTTTTTTATTATAATTATTAGATACATATAAAATGAAACCTTGTAAAACTGCAAATAAAAGTTTGAAGAAACAAAAAATATGGAAATTGAGAAACAAAATATACAAACAAAATATTAAATTTTCGATATTTCGGTTTTACAATTTTTGTGTTTTCGAGTTTGCAGTTTGTCGATTTTTAAGATTCTCAATTTTTAATCTTTCTATTTTTCAATTTTTCATTTCTTCAATTTTTTTAATTCTTCTTTTCCAATTTCCAGATTTTTCAATGTTTTATTTTATACTTTTTGTTTGTTCATTTTATATTTTCCAATTTTCCAATTTTCAAATTTTTCCATTTTTTCGTTGAAATATCCGAAAATTATTAATCGAAAAGCTAAAATATCGGAAAAAGTTGAAAAATGGAAAACTAAAAAATCAAAAAAGTGCAAAATTGAAGAAAGTGGAAAATCAAAAAATTGCATATGGAAAAACTGAAGAAATGTAAAAACGAAACATTGAAAAACTAAAAAGCGTGAAACTAAAAATCAAAAAAAAAATTAATGAATCGAAAATTTCGGAAGAAGAAAAAACGAATCGAATCGAAAAATTGGAAAACCCAAAGATTGTGAAATTGAAACATTATCGAATCGTCAAAATAGTCAAGTCGAAAAATTGAAAAATTATATATCGAGAAAATAAAAAATTAAAAAATTAAAGTTTTAAAATTCAATAACTGAAAAAGTATGTAATTTTTTATTTTATAATAATTATTAGATACATATTTAAAATGAAACCTAGTAAAACTGCAAATAAAAAATTAAAGAGACGAAGAATTGGAGAATTGAGAAACTGAAAATCTAAAACAGAAAAAACCAAAAATTCAAAGATCTAAAAATTGAAAAATTAAAAATTGAAAACTCCTGAAACTACAAAGAGAAAAATTAGAAAATCTAAAACTGAAACATTCAATCCTATACTTTTTGAAAAATCCAATTTGTTGATATCATAATTTTTCGTTTCTTCATTTTTTAATTTTTCATTTTTTCATTTTACAGTGTTTGGGTTTCATTATTTCTCGTTCTTGCAACTTTAATTTTTTCAGTGTTTCATTTTCTGGACTTGAAATTTTTCATTCTTCGATTTCTCAGTTTTTCAATTTTTAATTTTTTGATTTTCGACTTTTCCCGATTTTATATCACAGATTTTCGTTCGTTCATTCCTTTTACATTTCCAATGTTTCTTTCGACTTTATAATAAATTTTCGGTTATTCAATTCCTCAAAATTTCAATTTTTGATTTTTCAGTTACTCGATTTACCAATTTTTAAATTTTACAGTTTCGTAATTTTTGGATTTCCTATTACGATGTTCTTTAAAATAAAAAAAAAACAAAATTTTCAAAAATCGCAGCAATTTTACAATTTTGAATTTTTACATTTTTCCGGTGAAATATCCCAAAATTAAAAATTGAAAAACTAAAAATTGGAAATTTGAGAAACTAAAAATCTAAAACTGAAAAAACGAAAAATTAAAAATCTAAAAATTGAAAACTCCTGAAATTGCAAACAGAAAAAGCAGAAAATTTAAAAACTGAAAAATCGAATCCGATACTTTTTGGAAAAATTCTATTTTTTATGGCACAATTTTTCGTTTTTTCATTGTATCAATTTTTGAGTTTTTTCAGTGTTTCGGTTTCATAATTTTTCGTTCTAGCGAATTTAATTTTTTCAATTTTTCAATTTCTCGACTTAAAATTTTTCGGTGTTTCCTGAATTTTTCAAATTATTGGCTTTTAGTTTTCACTTTCCCGATTTTATATCACAATTTTTCGTTTTTTCATTTCCTTTTCTTTTCCAATGTTTCTTTCTATTTTATTATTTTTCGTCTTTTCAATTCCTCAAAATGTCAATTTTTGATTTTTCAGCTACTTAATTTACCAATTTTTAAATTTTTCAATTTCGAAATTTTTAGATTTCCCAATTATGCGATTTTCCGATTTTTTTAAAATTAAAATGTTGTAAAATCGCAATATTAAAATTTCAAGATTTATATCAGAAAAATCCAAAAATTGTGGAACTGAAAACTATAAAGATTGAAGGATTAGAATTTGAGAAATTAGAAAATCAATAAACTGCAAAATCGAAAAAAGAAAATATTGAATTTTCGGTTTTTAAGATTCTCAATTTTTAATCTTTCTATTTTTCAAATTTTCATTATTCAATTTTTCAAGTTCTAGATTTCCAATGTTTAGAATTTTCAATGTTTTGTTTTATACTTTTGTGTTTTTTTTATTTTAGATTTTTCAGTTTAAAAATTTTGAAAATTTCCATTTTTTTGGTGAAAAATCTCATAATCGAAAACTAAAAAAACGAAAAATTGCAAAATTGAAAAGAGTGGAAAATTGAAAAATTGCAAATCGAAAATCTGAAAAAACGTAAAAACGAAACTTTGAAAAATTAAAAAGCGAGAAACTAAAAATAAAAATAATTAATTAATCGAAAATTTGGGAAGAAGAAAAAACGAATTGAATCGAAAAACTGGAAAACACAAAATTGTAAAATTGAAACATTATCGAATCGTCAAAATTGTCAAGTTGAAAAATTGTAGCACCGAAAGATCGAAAAATTGAAAAATTATATATCGAGATAGTAAAAAATTAAAAATCTAAAAATTGAAAAGTCGAATAAATGAAAATTTTCAAAAATTCGATAACTGGAAAAGTATTTTTTTAATTATAATTTTTATTAGATACATATTTAAAATGAAACCTAGTAAAACTGCAAATAAAAATTTAAACAGACGAACAATTGGAAAATTGAGAAACTGAAAATCTAAAACTGAAAAAACGAAAAATTCAAAGATCTAAAAATTGAAAAACTAAAAATTGAAAACATCGAATCCTATACTTTTTCGAAAAATATAATTTTTTGATATCACAATTTTACATTATTTCATTTCTTTTAATTTTTGAAATTTTTCATTTTCAATGTTTTGATTTTAAAATTTTTCGTTTTTGCAATTTTAATTTTTTCAATTTTTCAAATTTGCAATTTTTCAATTTCACAATTTCTGGATTTCACGATTATTCGCTTTTCCGTTTTCGTTAAAATTAAAGAAGAAACAAAGTATTCTAAAATCAAAATATTGAATTTTCAATATATCGGTTTTGCAATATTTTGTGTTTTCGATTTTGCAGTTTCTCGATTTTTTGTTTCTGAATTAATTTTTCAATTTTTCATTTCTTCAATTTTTCCAATTCTTCTTTTCCAATTTCTAGATTTTTTAATTTTTTATTTTATGCTTTTTTTGCTCGCTTCAGATTTTTCAATTTTGCTATTTTGAAATTTTTCTATTTTTTTTTCTGTGAAATGTCCCAAAATTAAAAATCGAAAAACTAAAAAATCGGAAAAAGTTGAAAAATCGAAAACTAAAAAAGCCAAAAATTGCAAAATTGAAGAAAGTGGAAAATCAAAAAATTGCAAATCGAAAAAATGAAGAATCGCAAAACCGAAACTTTGAAAAACTAAAAAGCGAGAAAATAAAAATAAAAAAAACTAATAAATTAAAAGATTGGAATGAAGAAAAAACGAATCGAATCTGAAAATAGAAAATCCAAAAAATTGTAATATCCAAAAACTACAAAATCATCAAAATGATAAAGTCGGGAAACTGTAGCACTGAATATCGGAAAAAGTTGAAAAATCGAAAATTAAAAAAATCAAAAAATTGCAAATCGAAAAACTGAAGAAACGCAAAACCGAAACATTGAAAAACTAAAAAACGAAAAACTAAAAATCAAAAAAATTAATTAATCGAAAATTTCGGAAGAAGAAAAAACGAATCGGGTCGAAAAATTGTAAAATTATATATCGAAAGATTAAAACATTTTTAAAATCGAAAAATTGAAGCCGAAGAAATGAAAAAGTTTTAAAATTCAATAACTGGAAAAGTATTTTTTTTAAATTGTAATTATTATTAGATACATATTTAAAACGAAACCTAGTAAAACTTAAAATAAAAATTTAAAGAGACGAAAAATTGGAAAATTGAGAAACTGAAAATCTAAAACTAAAAAACCGAAAAATTCAAAGATCTGAAAATTGAAAAATTAAAAATTGAAAACTCCTGAAACTGCATGCTTTTTCGAAAAATCCAATTTTTTGATATCTCAAGTTTTCGTTTCTTCATTTTTTAATTTTTCAGTTCTTCATTTTACAGTGTTTCGATTTCATAATTTCTCGTTCTTGCAATTTTAATTTTTTCAGTGTTTAATTTTCTGAACTTAAAATTTTTCAAATTTCCAATCTTGCAATTTTGCGATATTGCAATTTTTCATTCTTCGATTTCTCAGTTTTTCAATTTTTAATTTTTTGATTTTCGACTTTTCCCGATTTTATATCACAGATTTTCGTTCATTCATTCCTTTTACTTTTCCAATGTTTCTTTCGATTGTATAATAAATTTTCGTTTATTCAATTCCCCAAAATTTCAATTTTTGATTTTTCAGTTACTCGATTTACCAATTTTTAAATTTTACAATTTCGTAATTTTTGGATTTCCTAATTATCCGATGTTACAATGTTTTGTTTCCCGATTTTTCGATTTCTTTAAAATAAAAAAAAAACAAAATATTCCAAAATCGCAATATTGAATTTTCAATATTTATGTCGGCTAATTAAAAAATCCAAAAATTATGAAACTGAAAAATCTGAAAATTGAAAGATTTAAAATGAAGAACCTTAAAAATCGATAAACTGGAAAATCGAAATAACAAAATTTTAGGTTTTACCATATTTTGTATTTTCGAGTTGGCAGTTTTTCAATTTTTATGATTCTCAAGTTTTAATCTTTCCATTTTTCAATTTTTCATTTGTTTATTTCTTCCAGTTCTTGATTTCCAATTTCTAGATTTTTCAATGCTTTGTTTTACAATTTCTTCTTTTTTCATTTAAAAATTTTCAATTTTACAATTTTGAAATTTTTACATTTTTCCGGTGAAATATCCCAAATTTAAAAATTGAAAAACTAAAAATTGGAAATTTGAGAAACTAAAAATCTAAAACTGAAAAAACGAAAAATTAAAAATCTAAAAATTGAAAAATTAAAAAATGAAACTCCTGAAATTGCAAACAGAGAAATTAGAAAATTTAAAAACTGAAACATCCAATTCGATACTTTTTGGGAAAATTTCATTTTGTGATGTCACAACTTTTCGTTTTTTCATTGTTTTAATTTTTCAGTTTTTTCGTTTTATAGTGTTTCGGTTTCACAATTTTTCGTTCTTGCAAATTTAATTTTTTCAATTTTTCAATTTCTCGACTTAAAATTTTTCAGTGTTTTCTAAATTTTTCAAATTATTGGCTTTTAATTTTCACTTTCCCGATTTTATATCACAATTTTTCGTTTTCTCAATTTTCCAACGTTCCTTCTGATTTTATTATTTTTCGTCTTTTCAATTCATCAAAACATCAATTTTTGATTTTTCAGCTACTCGATTTACCAATTTTTAAATTTTTCGATTTCGAAATTTTTCGATTTCCCAATTATCCGATTTTCCGATTTCTTTAAAATTAAAATGTTGTAAAATCGCAATATTGAAATTTCAAGATTTATATCGGATAATTGAGAAATCCAAAAATTGTGGAACTGAAAACTATAAAATTGAAAAATTAGAATTTGGGAAACTTGGAAATCAATCAACTGCAAAATCAATAAACTGCAAAATCGAAAAAACAAAATATTGAATTTTCGGTTTTTAAGATCCTCAATTTTTCATATTTCTATTTTTCAAATTTTTATTTCTTCAATTTTTCAAGTTCTAGATTTCCAATTTTTAAAATTTTCAATGTGTTGTTTTATACTTTTGTGTTTTTTTTATTTTAGATTTTTCAGTTTAAAAATTTTGGAAATTTTCCATTTTTTCGGGAGAAAAATCTCATAATCGAAAACTAAAAAAACGAAAAAGTGCAAAATTGAATAGAGTGGAAAATTGAAAAATTGCAATTCAAAAAACTGAAGAAACGTAAAAACGAAACTTTGAAAAACTCTAAAGCGAGAAAATAAAAATAAAATAAAACTAATAAATTAAAAGAGTGGAATGAAGAAAAAACGAATCGAATCTGAAAATAGAAAATCCAAAAAATTGTCATATCCAAAAACTATAGAACCATCAAAATGGTAAAGTCGGAAAACTGTAGCACTGAAAGACGGAAAAATTGAAAACTTAAAAATCGAAAATTGAAAAGTTTTAAAATCCTGAAAAAGTGTTTTTCTATTATTTATAATTATTAATGATACATATTTAAAATGAAAACTAGAAAAACTGCAAATAAAAAATTGAAGAAACGAAAAATAGGAAAAATGAGAAATTGAAAATCTGAAATAGAAAAAACAAAAATTAAAAATTGAAAACACCTGAAATTGTAATTAGAAAAAACAGAAAATCCAAAAATTGAAACATCCAAAAGTTGGAAAATCGGAAATCTGAAAAATTTTAAAAATGCAAATCGAAAAATTCAAGAATCGATAAGTTGAAAAAACTGAAATTGGGTAAACAAAGAATTATAAAATCGGAACATCGAAAAATCGAAAAATTGTAAAAAAATAAAGAAATGAAAACTGCAAAATCTACAAACTGAAACATTCGAAAGTTGGAAAATCGGAAAACTGAAAGATTGAAAAATTTAATTCTTCTTCGATCAATTTTTTTCATCTAGTGACGATTTTAGTGTACCAACTCATGGAGCTTCCAATCAGAGTGAACAATCGTCCAATAAAGACGAAAGCGACTTCTTCCAGGGCGATTTTGCTATTTTCAATAACCCCAGGCCACTAACCTCAGTCAACGACGCAACCTGCGGCACGGTTGTGGTAAGAAAAACCCTCCACCCAAAAAATCAAAATTTTATTGATTACGTTTTTTCAGACCCTCCCACGCCCTTTAATCACCTACAGCCAACCCACCCAAGAGGCCGAATTCCCCTGGCACGCCGCCATTTACCGCGCCCAAGGCGTAGACCTCAGATTCATATGTGGAGCTTCTCTTATAACACGTTACCACTTAATAACCGTGGCACATTGTGTAACTAAGCGCGTATCTCGGGAGACTGTTAATCCGGATGATTTGCTGGTCTATCTGGGAAAATACTATTCGAAGATATGGACTAATCCGGGCATTCAAAATAGACAAGTCGAGAAGATTACAATCCATTCGCAGTTCAATCCTCAGTTTTTCATGAACAACATCGCCGTGGTCAAACTCGCTTCCCCGGCCGAAATTACCTTTTATGTGCGGCCGGTGTGTCTGTGGGACGAAGACACCCGGTTGCTTGCTGTTACCAGCAGGGTTGGTAAGTCGACAACTAGTAAAAGAGGTCCAAAATTACGTGTTTTTTAAGGCAACGTTGTTGGTTGGGGTTGGGATGAAAATGGTCTTTTTCCTGAAAAACTGACGAAGGCAAGAATGCCGGTGGTTTCTCACGAGACTTGTATTTATTCGTACCCGGACTTTTATTCAAGGTATACATCTAGCACGTCGTATTGTGCAGGGTTTAACAATGGTAAGTATTTTTATTCTAGCATCATTTGTAAAATGTAATAATATATGAAGCAATTAAGCAAACAGTTATACAGATGCGTGTGGTATTTCTTGTACGTCCTTTGGCATTTAGTAAAATACATATAAAATGATAGGCGGCACGCTTCCATGACCTACTTCGACCCTAGAGTCATTTATAGAAATCCTGTAACATACATTCGACAAAGTAGGCTTCCTACACAGTTTTTAACGTCGCATCTAAACAATTTTTTTTTTAATTGAAGGTACTAGCGTATGCAACGGCGACTCAGGGGCCGGCATGGTTTTCCCAAAAACGTATTCCAATTCAGAAAGCCGAGTATGGCAATTGCGAGGGATTGTTTCAGTTAGCGTCGCTCTGAAAAACCAAACGAGATGCGACCCTTCAAACTATGTGATCTTTACTGATGTGGCCAAATACCTCGACTGGATTCACGCCTCCCTTAATTAAAATATTTTAAGATAAAAAGCCGCAGTTACGTATAGCCTTACTACATATAGGAATTGTATTTTTAATAAAAGTTATACAGTTATTCCACGTTTTAATAATACTTTCATTACAACCTAACCACTATTGTGTTCGAAACTAAGTTCAGTTCCAGAAATCACAGAAATAAGAAACACATCGAAAATATAAGAGCAACATGAAAAAAATTCCTGCTTTATAATTTTTCAAAATTTCAGTTTGTAGTAAACTTGTTTTTTTGTCCAAAATTTAAAAATGCAAAAGCGAAGACTTGATTATTTAAAAGCTAAAATTTGGAAAGATTAAAAATTGAAAAGTAGAAAAACTGAAAATTCAAAAATTAAACACGTGAAAATTGGAATTATCGTTTAATTCAAATAAAGAAAAATTCAAATATGTATCTACAAACTGAAAAATCGAAAAATTGAAAAACCGGAATCTTAAAAAATCGAAACATCTAAGAAGCGAAAAATTACAGATCGAAAAACTAAAGGAATAAAAATTTGCAAAATCAAAAATCTGAAAATTCGACAAATCGAAAACAAGAAAACTTGAAAGCGAAAAACTGTCAAATCGAAAAACTGTAAAATTGAACAAGTTTATATCGAAAAAGTTAAAAATGTAAGTAATTATAAAATCGAAAAACTGAAAATTTCAAGAGCTGATAAATATAGAAATTTTGAAAAATTTAAAACAAATTCGAAAAATGGCAAGTCTAAAATTTGTAAAATCTAACAAAAATTGAAAAATCGAGAAATTGCAAAATCGGAAAACTAATGAATTTTTAAAAACTCAAAAATGGGTGCTGCTAAAAAAATTCTCAGTCAACACAATATATATGTAAAAAATTGAAAAATCCAAAAACTGTAAAATCGTGAAAATTTCAGTTTTAATAAATTTGTTCTTTTTGAATTATTTAAATTAAAAATTAGAATCCCTACAATTGAAATCTCGATTAACTGAAATAAGGAATAATTAAAATATCTACAGTTTGCAAAAATGAGGAATTGTAAAATTGAAATATCGAAAAATTGCAAATCAAAAATCTAAGAGACCGAAAAATAAAAAAGTCAAAAAATTGTAAAATTGAAAAATTAAAAATTTAAAACTAGAAAACCTAAAATCGGGAGACTGTAAAGTCGAAAAACTGAGGACACAAAAATTCACAAGTGGAAAACATGAAAATCGAAAAATTAAAAATCGAAAACTGGAAAATCCAAAAATTGAATAAACAATCTAGAAATTGACAGTCGAGCTAACTGTAAAATCGATAAATTGGAACTGAAAAATTGAAAGAATTGAAAATCAAATGTTGAGAATCAAAAAAAAACGGTGTAATTTTTAAAAATTCGAAAATGGGTGCTATTAAAAAATCCTCGGTCAACATGATGTAAATAAACGTGGTGAAACCAATAATATTCCAAAGACACCGATGTGTATCGTAAAACTGAAAAATTAAAAAGTCCATAAATCAAAAATCGAAAAAACCAAAATTTGAAAATACGAAAAACTGCAAATCGAAAAATTAAGGAACGACAAATTGAAAAATCAAATATTAAAAAAAAAATTATCAAACAAAAGTTGACGTTCTGGTATAGAAAAATTATACATTACACGCTTTTTGGCTTGCTTAATGTTTCCAAAATTCCATTTTTTGCCAAGAAATTTCTACCTCAACTCCTAAAAACGACAATGTATGTAAGTTTTTCGATGCTCAGAAATTTGAGCATCTTGTTTTTTGCCTCATTTTCTCAACTCATGAGCCCTCTTTACCTAATAGCTGCTAATAAAAATAAAAATTATTTTGGTAAATGATACATCCTCCAAGAAAAGAGAGGGTGGGTGGGCGGGGCTAGTATCCGCTAAAATAAAACTGGTTTTGCCAAATGATATTTGCTAAAATCAGTCTTTACAGGTACTAGTACCACCCACCCGCCCTCTTTATTCTGGGAGGGTATTTGCCAAAATCAGTCTTATCCTAGTTAGTAGCTGCTAAGATAAAAATGATTTTGGCAAATCACATATCCTCTAAGAAAATAAAGAGTGGGTGGGCGGGGCTAGTAGTTGATAAGAGAAGATTTCATTTTTCTAAAATCAGTCTTAACAGTTACTAGTCCCACCCACCCGGCCTCTTTTTTCTGAAAGGGTATTTGCCAAAATCAGTCTTATTTTAGCAGGTACTAGCCCCGCCCACCCACCCTCTCTTCTCTTAGGTGATATTTCATTTGCCAAAATCAGTCTTATCTTAGCAGGTACTAGCCCCGCCCACCCACCCTCTCTTTTCTTGTAAGGTATGTCATTTGCAAAAATCAGTCTTATCCTAGCTAGTAGCAGCTAAGACAAAAATGATTTTGGCAAATGACATCCTCTAAGAAACGAAAGGGTGGGTGGGCGGGGCTAGTAGCTGCTAAGAGAATATATCATTTGCTAAAATCTGTCTTACCAGTTACTAGTCCCACCCATCCTTTCTCTTTTTTCTGAGAGGGTAAATCATTTGCCAAAATCAGTCTTAGTTTAGCAGGTACTAGTCCCGCCCGTCCACCCCCTATTTTCTTAGAGGTATCTCATTTGCCAAAATCAGTCTCATCCTAGCTAGTAGTTGCTAAGATAAAAATGATTTTGGCAAATCACATACCGTCTAAGAAAATAAAGGGTGGGTGGGCGGGGCTAGAAGTTTATAAGAGAATATGTCATCTGCTAAAATCAGTCTTAACAGTTACTAGTCCCACCCACCCAGCCTCTTTTTTCTGAGAGGATATTTGCCAAAATCAGTCTTATTTTAGCAGGTACTAGCCCCGCCCACCCACCCTCTCTTTTCTTAGGTGATATTTTATTTGCCAAAATCAGTCTCATCTTAGCAGGTACTAGCCCCGCCCACCCACCCTCTCTTTTCTTGTAAGGTATGTCATTTGCCAAAATCAGTCTTATCCTACCTAGTAGCAGCTAAGACAAAAATGATTTTGGCAAATGACATCCTCTAAGAAACGAAAGGGTGGGTGGGCGGGGCTAGTAGCTGCTAAGAGATTATGTCATTTGCTAAAATCTGTCTTAGCAGTTACTAGTCTCTCCCATCCATTCTCTTTTTACTGAGAGGGTAAATCATTTGCCAAAATCAGTCTTAGTTTAGCAGGTACTAGTCCCGCCCGTCTACTCTCTATTTTCTTAGAGGGATCTCATTTGCCAAAATCAGTCTCATCCTAGCTAGTAGTTGCTAAGATAAAAATGATTTTGGCAAATCACATATCCTCGAAGAAAATAAAGGGTGGGTGGGCGGGGCTAATAGCTGCTAAGAGAATATATCATTTGATAAAATCTGTCTTAGCAGTTACTAGTCCCACCCATCCATTCCCTTTTTTCTGAGAGGGTAAGTCATTTGCCAAAATCAGTCTTAGTTTAACAGGTACTAGGCCCGCCCGTCCACCCTATGTTTTCTTAGAGGGATCTCATTTGCCAAAATCAGTCTCATCCTAGCTAGTAGCTGCTAAAATACAAATGGTTTTGGCAAATCACATATCCTCTAAGAAAATAAAGGGTGGGTGGGCGGGGCTAGTAGTTGATAAGAGAATATGTCATTTGCTAAAATCAGTCTTAACAGTTACTAGTCCCACCAACCCGGCCTCTTTTTTCTGAGAGGGTATTTGCCAAAATCAGTCTTATTTTAGCAGGTACTAGCCCCGCCCACCCACCCTCTCTTCTCTTAGGTGATATTTCATTTGCCAAAATCAGTCTTATCTTAGCAGGTACTAGCCCCGCCCACCACCCTCTCTTTTCTTGTAAGGTATGTCATTTGCCAAAATCAGTCTTATCCTACCTAGTAGCAGCTAAGACAAAAATGATTTTGGCAAATGACATCCTCTAAGAAACGAAAGGGTGGGTGGGCGGGGCTAGTAGCTGCTAAGAGATTATGTCATTTGCTAAAATCTGTCTTAGCAGTTACTAGTCCCACCCATCCATTCTCTTTTTTCTGAGAGGGTAAATCATTTGCCAAAATCAGTCTCATCCTAGCTAGTAGCTGCTAAGATAAAAATGATTTTGGCAAATCACATATCCTCTAAGAAAATAAATGGTGAGTGGGCGGGGCTACTAGTTGATAAGAGAATATGTCATTTGCTAAAATCTGTCTTAGCAGTTACTAGTCCCACCCATCCATTCTCTTTTTTCTGAGAAGGTAAGTCATTTGCCAAAATCAGTCTTAATTTAGCAGGTACTAGGCCCGCCCGTCCACCCTCTATTTTCTTAGAGGGATCTCATTTACCAAAATCAGTTTCATCCTAGCTAGTAGCTGCTAAGATAAAAACGATTTTGGCAAATGACATATCCTCTAAGAAACGAAAGGGTGGGTGGACGGGGCTAGTAGCTGCTAAGAGAATATGTCATTTGATAAAATCTCTCTTAGCAGTTACAAGTCCCACCCATCCGTTCTCTTTTTTCTGAGAGGGTAAATCATTTGCCAAATTCAGTCTTATCTTAGCAGGTAGGTACTAGCCCCGCCCACTCATCCCCTCTTTTCTTGTAAGGTATGTCATTTGCCAAAATCAGTCTTATCCTAGCTAGTAGCAGCTAAGACAAAAATGATTTTGGCAAATGACATCCTCTAAGAAACGAAAGGGTGGGTGGGCGGGGCTAGTAGCTGCTAAGAGAATATATCATTTGCTAAAATCTGTCTTAGCAGTTACTAGTCCCACCCATCCATTCTTTTTTTTTTCTGAGAAGGTAAGTTATTTGCCAAAATCACTCTTAGCTTAGCAGGTACTAGTCCCGCCCGTCCACCCTCTATTTTCTTAGAGGGATCTCATTTGCCAAAATCAGTCTCATCCTAGCTAGTAACTGCTAAGATAAAAATGATTTTGGCAAATCACATATCCTCTAAGAAAATAAAGGGTGGGTGGGCGGGGCTAGTAGTTGATAAGAGAATATGTCATTTGCTAAAATCAGTCTTAACAGTTACTAGTCCCACCCACCCGCCTTCCAGTTTCTGAGAGGGTATTTGCCATGACTTAAGGCCACCAGAGAAACAGCACAGTACTTGCCCGGGTTAAGCATGA